GCCCGAGAGAGATCAGGTGCACGTGCGGACTGGTATTCCTGGCTGTTCATCAGACTATCAACAACTTCATCGCCATGGGCTCGGCGGAATTCGTTTTCAATCCGCGTCTCCTCTCCTTGTCTTCTCAAGTGCATAGCTTGGGCCTTTTGCTGTGAGGATGGGCTATCCCAGTCGACAGGACCTGCTTCGCCAAGTCGAGGCACGGTCGAGTGTTGCTCTGATGGAGGTGATAGGTCAGATTCTTGTTGTGTAGGTGTTTGTGAGTTCCTTTCACTTGGCGGCTCTATGAGCTGCGAGTCAACTTCGCCCCCTGAAGTGAGACTTTGACGAGCGCTTGAGAGACTCCTGCGAACCTTTGTGCTAGTCTTCTTGACCTTTTCATAAAGTCCGACCGAAAGCACGGAGTCCATTCTCTCCCTAGCAGAGCTCATGCGTCTCCTCCAGGATTGCACTTCCTCTTCATCCTGTAACCAGAAAGAGCTAGGTCCAGGAGGGTGGTCAGGTGATTGGTTAGCATGCTCCTTCTGACCGCAGTGTTCTCCTTGGGAGCGCGTGGCAGCGGCGGGGGAGCACAACCGAGCCGAAGGTATGTTGGAAGAATGAATTTCGGGGTCGGCAGTGTTTAGACGCGGAAAAGCGCTCTTATTGGTTGGCGAAATCCCATTAGCGGAGTGAACGCTAGAATTACAATTTTCTGCCTGGTCTGCAGCAGTGGTTGGAGAATCGACGAATGTATCTGATCTAGGCTGTGGGTCTCCTCCGAGGTCGTCCGTTATGGCAATCCGAGAGCTTTCCTCTGGGATCAATTTCTCGTCATACGTGACAAGAGAATGGCGAGCTGTAGCCAGGGATTCCTTCGGGTCAGACTTCGAGAACACTCGCTGCCTCAATGATAATTTGAGACCAATGCCATTAGTAGGCGAAGCTGCAGGCAGCGATTCTGAACTAACGCATTCTTTGATCGCTATGTTAGCCTCTGAAGGCTGGGAGTCCGGGTACTCAGGTTCAGGCCCACGATCTTGCAGAGGATCGGGAATATTCACGAAGTCAGGAGAGGTTGCTCGAGGCGAAGATATGCGCCTAGACATCCTACGAAGACCCCGAGTCACACCATGAGGTAGGTGAGGGACATGAGGGACAAATGAGTGTTTTCCCTGCTTGGAGTCTAGTGGCTCTGGTGGAATATCTTCCTCGACGGGGCAATCATGTGACGGGGAATCGGAGACATTGGCCTCGGGTGACTGTTCCTTCACAATTGACCTGCTGAGTGAATCCAGAGGATCAGAGATAGATACACTCTTTCTCCTGATCGTGAATGGAGTATGGCCATGTGCCTGGCAATTCAAATGATGTTCTCGTTGTTGTTGTTGTTGTTGTTGTTGTTGTTGTTGTTGTTGTTGTTGTTGTTGTTGTTGTTGTTGTTGTTGTTGTTGTTGAGGTGTTGGCGACATGATCAAAGCTCTGTCCTGGATCTGTCCAACCCCTGAGCCAATTGTGTGGGAAATTGCGTCTGCCATAGAGAATGTGGTTTTTGCAGAATGGATGATGGTGCGGGACGAGAGGGATACACATATGATGGCAATCTCATGATGACGAAAAAGCATCAGTCTTGATGCATGGATGACGGTGGATGCAGCACCCATACTGTTCCGCAACTCTTGTCTGGCTGGAGGTTGATTAATCTCTGGTGGACTTGAAGCTACTCCACAAGCTAGCCAAGCTATGAGGTTCAGAGCGAGCTTCCCAGCTGGCCCAGTGTAGCAGATCGGGAGCAAGCGGTAATTTCCCAATGCCTACAAACTATAACGCCGAGACTCCCCGCTAGATCTTGGAGCATGGGTCCCTGAAAGGTACTGTAGCTATCGGACCTAGACCTCAAACATTGTGTGGGTCGCTGAGCGTAATGACCCTTTGCCGAATCGACGGACTAACTGCCGGGTGCTGTGAGTGAGAGCATTATCATGTTTATCGAGAAATGAAGTTGATGGCATAGGGTCGATAACACGGATCCGCCGCAATGCCACTGCGGCCTTGGTATGACCGAGCAACGTGAATTTTCCAGACTCCGGCGGCGGCAGATTGCTCCAGTCTATATACGCGACCCCTTCGAAGTCCACATACGATAGGCTTCCGATAACGATGTTTCGAGCTTTCAATAGGCTCAATCCAGCTCGCTCTCATGCCTTTCGACAAGGCCATCGACGCCATGCAGTGCGCGTGCAAACTCCTCGACAAAAGCATTGCCTACGTCTTGTACTTGGTAGCCGGTGACACCTTCGTTCTCCAGACTAGTGGTTCTCTTCCCCTCGAGGCCACAGGCGACAATTCGACCAAACCACTTGAGATCGGTATTCACATTGAGACCAATACCATGACTCGTGATATTCCGTCTCAGATGCACGCCAAGTGCACAAATTTTGTCATCTTCGGTAGTCCAAACACCCGGATGTTCAGTGGTAGAGGCTTTGATATCATATCTCTTCAGAGTAGCAATGACAGTCTTTTCGAGCAGACAGACATAAGATCTGGGCGTCAGGTTATGTGATTTTAAATCCAAGATGGGGTAGGAAGTCAATTGACCAGGACCATGAAACGTGGTTTGACCACCTCGCATGGCCTCGTGGAATTCTGCGAGGCCATTGTCGCATAAGAAGGCTTGTTGTGAGGGTGAGACTGTGCCTATCTCTCTTCTGCCGCAGGTGTAGACTGGGTTGAATTCGGCTGTGATGATTGTAGGTGGTGGAGGTTTGACTGTAGTAGGCGTAGCTTTTGAGGCGAGGAAGGCTTGGACCAATCTATCTTGAATAGCGGAGGCACGCGAATATGGCGTCAGGCCCGGGAGTTTGAGGTGTCGGAGGAGCATCTTGTGCTTGTGGATGTAGAGTTGTAACGATCGTGGTCACAGAAACGAGTGGAATTAGCAGTCTCTCGACAGTGAGATTGGGGTGTGATTTTCAAGCCTTCTTGTTGTCCACGTTGGCTTCTGCTTCAATATTTCTTGATCCACAGAATCTCCCACTTTGGTCATCGATGTTCAAAGACGATCAACGGTTCATGCAGGTTCCCACTGGCGCCGGCTGTGGCTTGCAGATCATCCGCAAAGCTTGTGCCTTGTCATGACTTTCTTGGAGTCGCGCATCCATGTTTTGTCTCAGAGCAGCATGTGACAAAAGACAGGCTTGCGCACACATCTGAGAAGCGAGATGCTGATCGCGTCGTATTCTTTATATCCAGGCGCTTGATTAAATTATTTGGACCATGGCCGATAAGCAGCAGCAATCGCAGAGACAGAAACTGCCCAAACTGCCCAAAAGTATCATTTCATCGACCACAGAATCCTGCATCTTATCCCACTAACATTCTCTTTCCTTAGATACCAAAGTGACAAAGCGCCCTCTGCTGCACCCTACGATACCATCCAAATATGCAGGCTCCAACCAGCAAAAGGTCATCTACATAGGCACGCGCACACCATTCATGAGCGCCGTCAAACGTGTCGAACGCCATCTAGATCAAGTCGAAAAGCGAGCCACTCAATCCGCTACCGCTCATGTCAAGAATGAAAACAAGAAAAAGAGAAAGTACGGCCAGTACTCTGCCGCTACCGGTGACGACGACGCAGGCGAGATCGGACGGATTGCCAAAAAGCTAGCAGAAAAAGATGCAGGCGAGGAGGGAAGTTGGATGAAGGAAGAGGTCGTCCTCAAGGCTTCAGGAAGGGCCATCGAGAAGGCGCTCAAATTGGCTTTGTACTTCACCAAGAAGGAAGGCTTCGGTGTCTTGATCAAGACTGGCTCTGTGGGCGCCATTGATGATATCGAGGTTGAGGAGCCCGAAGATACAAATGCAGACGCGGAGGGTCGAGATGGCGATGATCAGACCATGAAAGATGCAACTGCCACGGACAAGGAGACTCAAGAGGCAATTCCTGAGACTAGGATCCGATATGCCAGCACTATCGACGTCGCTGTTTATAAGACATGAGGCATCTGGTCCAACGGCTAAGATAACACCACATGACGCCTTCTCGGGCTGTCACTGTTCCCTTGACGACTTGGACCGCCTCACGTTGACGTCTCGCTAGCCACCAGCGCAACCTACATCCACACAAACACTTGCTCCATCAAACCTTCAATCGGAGAGGCCCAAGATATGAGCGTGTGTGGATAGTGCAAATCTTCAAGCAAACGCATTCCGTGGGTGAATAAACCCATGTTTCCCACCGCTATCCTTTGGGTCAGATGCATAATGGAAATGAGCTCTTCTGTTGATTTGAACTCTGCCCCTCGCCATCATGGTTGTAAATCTGGCAATAACGGACAGCCCGACTCAAGAAACAGGGGCATCTCCACAAGATCTTGTACCATCACATTTCCACCGCAGAGCGTATACCTTTACTATGAACGAGCAATATGGCGACACCGGCCGTCTCGGAGAGTGGTGAGATAATTCACGAAAGGCTCATCTCCGCCAATGGACTCTCCTATCATAATAAAATCCCAGATGACACCTTGAGAACAGCGCAATTGTGCTCATCGCTACGACAGAATCACATCCTAGTCTTGAAAGAGGAATAGCAGGTAGCTGATCTTGAACTCCATATGTGCTTGGTGTCGCCGCTGTGACGATGGTAGCGGTGATTATACTAGCCACTTGCTATATCGCCTAGCTTTACTTCAATTCATATTTGCACAAGAGTCTGAGCATCAATACCACAAATTTTGGCGCAGCAGACACATGTGAGCAATGAGTTGGCTGGATCGAGTGCCAGGGCAAGGACGAGACGACTTAGGCACAGGGTCGCCCTCGGTGGCGCCTATTTTGCGGTAGTTGGCATGGTCTCGGGCAGCTGGACTTTTTTAAGCCATCTCAGGTACTGTAAATGGCTGTACAAGTCGGCTTTGAGAGAATGAAGGACTATAGACCATCTTGATGGCAGTGTGGCAGCCGTGAAACGTAACTATATATTTGGATAGTAAGATTCATGCTTCTATCAAATAGGGCTTGTAGCGCAGTGGTAGCGCGTCTGCTTTGCATGCTGAAGGTCTTGGGTTCGATCCCCAACAAGTCCAACCTTTTGCATTCTCTTTCAGCAATTACTTTCATTCTAAGAGTCTATATATATATAGACTTGCAAGTTTTTTTTTCTTTTTCATCGGCTGGTGTGTCTAGCTAAGGACTGTTATTTCACACAAGCAAGTGCAGACCGTGAAGCTTCTCAGCAGCATTCCTTTGCAAAGCCTTTGAGTACGATTATTGTTTTTGCAGAGTTCAATTGAAAATGATACAGCATAAGCTACTGGTATGCTGGTATCATGTGGGGTTTCTGCATCGAAACTAGAAAATATGAAAAAGCCAGCATGATAGCAAATCTCACTTACACTATAGCCGGTCATTAAGTTTGCCAATCCGTCTCAACGCCACATCCTCACTCGTGCGGTTACCTACTATAGCTTTCCTTTTTCCTCAGTCAGGAATGCAATCTTGAAGGGCTGGGAGTTGGCGCTGCCCACCACGTGACAGGAAATCACTACTTCTCAAGTCCTGGACCAGCCGGGTTGCGTAGTGTAATGGTTATCACTTCAGATTCTGACGAGTACAGTGATACAATCTTCTGGAAATCCCGGTTCGATTCCGGGCGCGACCTCTTTTGTAGCTTCGTAGCCTCATTATGTGGGTGCGGACGGTAGCTCCTGGCGATGACCGAGGAAGGACCGTCGTGGTAGGTAAATGCGTTCAGTTTGTGCGTGACACGAGATTGTTCTGATACCGTCTCGTCGAGACCTGATAAGACAAGGTCCTGGGCCAGAGTGGATTTCGTTGTGTTGTTCCCAGATCTAGAGCCACCTTGTCACGAAGAAGAGTAAAGGTCGGCGTCCAAGGACGTGCCATTACGCATTTGCATAGCGAGACTCTGCGTTTACTCTTTTGAGCCTTGTAACCAGCATTTAGAAGAGCAAGCATAAAGACCTGGGCTTGAAGCTGATTATAACCTTTTGCGACATCTACACATCCCAGCTGATGTAGTCTGTGCCATGGGAGGTCCCTGGCTGCGGAGACACACACAAAGACGTTTGCTCCCTGGCTGGTTCTCTTTGGTTCCTGTAGTATTAGACGGTTGGAAAGATCAGCCATGTGGACTTGTATCCGTTCGACTCGGAAGGAGACCTGCCATGGTCTGCCAGATCCGGTGGCAACGACGACGATGATGCTAGGCCTCTTTGTCTTTGCTTGTATTAATCGAAAACATTAAAAGCGCTGGGCGTCGCCAGCATATCATGTTTCCAGACGTGTGTCTCGGCGTGAACATCCAAGATAAACATGACTGTTTGAGACATAAAAAGGGGATGGCAAGACAGTGGAGCATCATACCGTACCAGCTTAGCAGGCCAGGTGTCGCATGCACCTATGTGGTTGAAGTGGGGCTGGACAAAAGTCTTGGCCAAGCAAGAGTCACTGAACTGCTGGAAACGAGGGTGAGACTGAGGAGGGTCACACGCCGACGGAACAGATTGAGGCGATCGCTACACTGTACATCGATAGCTAGCAGGCTTTTGCTTGCACGCCTGCATCTCAGCCTGACTCAGCCTTGAGACCTCTACTGATCGCGACCATGAAGCGACGATTGGATTCTACCTTAATCCAGTGAATAATGATGACTTTTGTCATGCTCTTTCACACCACAGACGCGCCCACACAAGCGGCTAGCGGCTTGGCATGTCTAGCGCGGTTCTCGCCTTTTGGCCCCGCCGCAAAGACGCTTATCCCTCATCGAACTCTCTCTTAACCTTCACCCACAACAACACTTTACAAATCTCCACTCCGACTTAAATAATCGCCTCCGAGCACCTTTCAGGGACCTCATCTCAATCAGCGTATACCCACCAAAAACAACTTAGTCAACAGACAAGACACTGCTTTTATGTCCATCGAGAACTTGAAGTCCTTTGGTACGGTCAACCCCTCCTTCGACTTCACGCCTCGACCCTGAGTCGGTGCCAGGTGGGATACAGTCGCATGGTTCAGCATGTTACTCGCATTGGACTTGACATGTCACAACCATGGTCATTGCTATCTCACTGGTCGACTGAAAGGGTTGAGGAGTGTTGTCGTCGTCAGTTAGACTCAACGCGCATGACTGACAAAACACCACAGACCCCTTCGCCGAAGCCGATGAGGATACAGGAGAGACTAAGCAGTCTCAAAACTACATTCACATCCGAATCCAGCGTACGTTGCCTCTTGTCCTTGTTCACCTCACCGCATTCTTGACGCCCGACTGTCCTTGCATGCCTATTGTCGCATAAAGCGGGGCAACGCCGAAGAAATTATCAACGCTTCTCATGTCGAGTCAATGACTAACACGTCATACACAGAGCGCAATGGTCGCAAGACTTTAACCACTGTTCAAGGTCTCCCCAAGAAGTTTGACCAGAAGAAGATCCTCAAGGTCATCAAGAAGAAGTTTGCCTGCAATGGCACCATCGTCGTCGACACCGAAATGGGAGAGGTGATTCAGCTCCAGGGTGATCAGCGTAAGGATGTCCAGGAGTTCTTGACCGACAAGAAGGAAGGTCTGGAGCTTGATGCCAAGACCATCAAGGTCAGTTTTATACCCTTTTCAAAAATGCACATGACACTGACATACATGGCTTCAGGTTCACGGTTTCTAAACGCTCAAGACTGCGCCATGCCTACTCGTCCGGAACGAGAGAGCAGCCGGTGAACCTGACGACAAGAAACTCGCCCGCTTCTTCATGAACAGGACATGCCACCTTCACAGGCTACACTCTCGTAACGAATACTATGACGAACTTGGTGAACAAAGACAAACACCATATGATGGTTGGGCTGGTGCAGCAAATTGGCGTTGGAAGATACCCTTGAAACGGAAACGAGCGTGTTTCGGTTGCTGCTGCTTCCTATTTGTTTAATGGCTGCTGCAGCATTTTCCATGTTGCAGTTGTTGCTTTCATTTCTTTGGTTGCGCAGATTGAGGCCTGTGTGCCTTGATGAACACAGAGATCGATGATTCTTTCTATTCGATTCAAGCACGCTTTGATGCGGCGAATGCAGTATCCTTTTCCACTTGACCGCTTGATGTTCTTGAGATCAGTGACTGCCCTGTCTAGATCGCATTGCGAATTGGCGTGAAGAACGTCGATGCTATTGTTACAACTATACAAACGCCAAGCTATGCTTTTGGCAATTCTTATACATGAGATATACAAGACGACGAACGAGTCTCACAAACCGAGCTACTTCTTCTCCTCGGCCTCTAGCTTTTCCAGCGTCATTTCCTCTGTCGTTCCCCAAACCTTCCACGGGCCCACCTTGCCCTTGCGCGTCATTCTCTGCACAACAAAGTACTCGACGACCTCCTTGCCCTCGGGGCCCGAGCTGCCCTCTTCAACCACAGCGCTCACCTTGCCATCTCTCCCCCTGACCTTACGCACGCGCTCCAACGACTGCATACTCCTTATCCGCACCACAGCCTGCTGCAACGCAGTCTGCTTGTATTTATCCTTGACACCCGCAGACAGAGGCATATACTTGTGAGAAACAACCCTAGGACTGCCGATGTAGCGATGCAAAGTCCACCTCAGACTCGTGTTGGGAGGACGCGAGACAATGCGGCCCTTGAGAGATTCGTGAATGCTCTCGCATAGCTTGGCCCGCATGTTGTCGATGGTGCCCTTGGCGAAATTCGTGTACATTTCCTCATAGAGGCCTGTGGCGATCGAGGGGATCTTCGTGCGCGAGAGGTTAGGGAAGCGGAACCAGCTCTTGAAACGGGCGGGGAGGTAAGAGCGAGTGCGGTCGGCGTCTCGGACGTAGAAGAATTTGATTGCGCCTGTGGTGGTCATGTCCTTGACGCGTTGGATGAAGCGGGCTTTTTCTAGTTTGTAGCGACCGGAGAAGTTGCTTGTGAGGGAGGGAAGGTTGCGGCCGTGAGGCATGATGAAGGTTCCTGATTGAGGTGTTTGTGTTAGTGCCATGTCTCTTTCAATGATCGTGTGTGACTCTTGATGGGGTGGTGGCATTGTGTTCCGGAGGATAAAGCATACTGGGCAAGAAACCAATGTCGTCTGGTATGACAGCCATTGCCTTTTGCTCCTGAAAAGCCACGTTCATACTCTTCTGCGACGGCGTCTTCACGGTTGGCATCTGCGGAATGAAAGTGTTGCCTCTTCCTGGTCTAGCCAGAGATGCTCGAGTCGTGCTGAATGTGCGGCCATGCGAGCGCGGAGAGAGGCCATGTTGAATGTATCTTTGCACGGGCAGAGATTGCTCGAGAGATCCTCGTATGGGCCCAAAGGCCTGCCGTAATCGTGTTGTCGACGCCATTGCTTGTAAATTGACTTCAAGGAAGTTGGACGACTTTGAACTTTTGGCTCTGGAGATGTGACCGGCCTTGGCGGATATCATGGCCCGTGCGTGGTATACTAATTGGATCTTGATCATCTGTGAGAAAGACCTTGAATGTATTTCCTCACACTTCGGTGTCCTTGTGACGATGAGGTGACGTGCTGAGACATATAGTCTGAAACAGCCCAAAATATTGAATTCCCGCTCAATGCTGGATTTCCTCTAGGATTCCGAGCATATTGTCTGCCACTCCCACCATACCTTAGGCCGGCACAAATACACACGTCTTGTTCATCTCATGACTATATCCTTCCCATTTAGGCTTCTTCCCATACCACTTTCATTGTTCCTAGTCTCAAAACTTTCTACATCCCCAGGCGCGCGTTGAGCGTTCAAAAACCTCTCGGACCATCCAACTATGCGACATGCTGGCATTGATCTCCGCCACTCTCGTCCACTCACCTTCTGCTTGTGTCAGCTTGGACACCGACGCTTGCCTCTTGCCCACCACCGGACAGCAAAATGCACTCTCCTACTTCCCGCCCATTCATGAGGTGGTGTCAAGGCCTGAATTCGCCATGGGCATGGCTGTCGAAACGATCAAGCAAGCCTTATGCCTCCTGCTGTCTGAGGCTCTTTCGAAACCTGTAAACTTGTCATACGATCGAAGGACCAACAAGTGTTCGCTGAGGTGTCCGGTCTGCTTTCCTCGTGATTGTTACAAGAACTCACCGTCAGGACAGGCCTGTGTTGGCGATTCGTGCAGCACGGTAGATGCATGCCCGACTATCGGCTACGTTCTAGATTTTGGTCGAAATCGGCAATAAACATATCGCGCGTGGACCTTCCAGACCCCCATCATAGCCAGCAACTTGGGAAGTAGCCTCATACTATCCCAAATTGGTAAGTCGAGCCCACTTTCTTATCATCATCATGTGGAGTACAAGCACTTTCTTGACTGGCTCGCAAGTACCTTCATCAATCCGAGTGCGGAAGTTGGTTGACAGGTCCCTATAGTGAAGATGCCATGCAAGCTGTTGGGTCATCTTCCCCGCTCGACATCCTTATCTCGAGAATGCGTCTTGGTTACGCCACGACCAGGTATGTATCTCTATATAGGATGCTTCTCCTCCAAAGTTTATTCGCGTGGCATACTTCTGCTTTCTCCAATTTCTTCTCAAAACAAAGGGGCAGACACAAGTGTTACCTTGCTTGTGGTGACACATCATGTCTCATCCACCCCCCAATATTGGGATCAGTGGCACCGATACACCAGGC